TGCCCGAGCCGGCGGGCAGCTGCCTGGGCGACCATGTTTGGCGGGCTGCGAGGGGACAGGCATCCGGTACCGGAGTTTTATTCCCGGAGAAGGCGGTGGGACGGGCAGGCCGCTTCCCTGCCGGAGGTAAGTGCAGCCTTGGTCGCCCCCACCCCCGAGGCCGCCGCAGGCCTGCCCTGCCGCCCCCTCTCTGACCCCGCGGCTCCCGGGGCGGCTCCCCCTGCCGCGGCCCTGCCCTCAGCCCCGGGCGAGCGGCTCTCCGAGAGACGTGGCCCTATTTGCCTACAAAACCAAGACTAGAGAGGTGTACTCGGCCAAAGGTCAGAATTGAATTCTGGCTTCCTACCCAGATATTTAGATGTTTATGAAAGTTCCTCCTCAGCATCTCTAATTTGGTTGGTTGCAAAATAAATAGCCCTCCTGCGCAGAAAGCCGTCCTGCTCCGGGCGCGATGCCCGGGAAGGAAAGGCTGGTGGCTTCGTAGCTACCACTACTGAAAAGGTATGCTTGTCCTTTGCCTCCTTCCCCTGAAGGGCGGGGTCGGTGTTAGAGCACGCTCCCTGTTTTGAATGTCTTATCTCCTCTCCTCCGCTGAGGCTCCCCTGGGCATCAGTTTACTGTGGTCTGAGTCCCAATTCATAAATTGCTCTGATGAGCCTCGGGATAGTAGTGCAGACTAAGTGAAATGTCCTTCCTTCCCTTCCTTTTCTTCCTCCCCCTCTTCATCCCTCTCTTCCTTCTTTTCTACTGAAACTACACCTGAACACAAAAATGATAAAATCCTGGCTTCAATTAAAACAAAACAAAACAAAAGCCCACAACACAACATTTGAAGATTCTACATCTTTACTGAATAAAGAGCAACAAGTGGCAGTTGTTAAAAGTTCATTGTGAGATGTGTATTGTAAATTGAATTTTTAATATTTGCTGCAATCATTTCATTTTACAGCAGTTGGGATTGCGATTGGGGATGTGGTACTGGAAAGATGAAACCAGAACTCTTGAATTCAGAAGGTAAATTTTATTAAAACTTTATTTTAGCTTTTATAAAAATTACATGTGCTTGGGGTAAAAAAAAAAAATCAAGCGACATACAAGAGTATAGCGAGCAAAATAAATATCTGCTGAAATCCCACCATCTAGAGAAAACCATTTTGGTGAGCGGCCTTCCAGATACCACTTTCTGATAACATTTATCAGCTGCTTCCTATGTAGCAGACACTGTGCTAATCAGTTTGCCAACCCTTTGAAAAAGCTGCGTGTTCATCCACTTACAGATGAAGAAACTAAACTCAAAGGGTTAAGCAATTTAAAGAAAACTAAGTGACTTAGCCAAATAACACAGCTCACAGGTGACTAAGATGATTGAAATCTAGGTCTTTTTGGCTCAGCGTCCATATATTTTTTTAAGACTTTATTTATTTGAGAGAGAGCACGGAGCAGTGGGAAGGGGCAGAAGGAGAGGGAGAAGCAGACTCTGTGCTGAGCAGGGAGCCGAATGCGGGGCTTGATCCCAGGACCCTGACCCTGGGATCATGACATGAGTCGAAGGCAAATGCTTAACGGGCTGAGCCACCCAGGTGCCCCCAGAGTCCATATTCTTAACTACTTTATAAAATTGCCTCTTTGAGTTACAGAAATACAGTTTTACATTAATGAGACCGTATTATACTTGCTCCATAATAGACAGTCAGTTCTCCAAGGTAAAATTACTAAATTAGAAAAAAACGATTTTAATCTCCATTGAGAAAATACTGACTATTAAAAGTGCATAACTTGGGTCACCTGGGTGGCTCAGTCGGTTGAGAGGGGTCGGTGTTAGAGCACGTTTCCCTGTTTTGAGGCTCAGGTCATGATCCCAGGGTCCTGGAATCAAGCGCCACATCGAGCCCTGCAGCGGGCCCCCTGCTCCTCAGAGAGCCTGCTTCTCCCTCTCCTCCCCGCTTGTGCTCTCTGTTGCTATCTCTGTCTCTCTCAAATAAATAAATAAAATCTCAAAAAAATTAATAAGTGCATAACTAAACAAACAGTACTAGCCGCTATCTGCTGTGTACCTATTATGTGCCAGATATTTGCATGTTTTCTGATTCTTAAACAGCCATGGAAAGTGAGAATTAATACCTCCATTTTCTTTTATTTATTTTTTTTAAAGATTTTTTTTTTAAATTTATTCATTTGAGACACAGAGATACAGAGAAAGAGAGAATGAGCAGAGGGAGAGGCAGAGGGAGAGGGAGAAGCAGGCTCTCTGCTGAGCAGGGAGCCCGATGCAGGACTCGAGCCCAGGACCCTGGGATCATGACCTAAGCCGAAGGCAGACACTTAACCATCTGAGCCACCCAGGCGCCCATTTTATAGATGAAGAAACAAGGCTCAGGGAGATTAAGCAACTGACCCAAAGTCATACAGTCAGTAAGTAGCAAAACTGACATTTTGAGCCAGGGTTTGTCTGTTGCCAAAGCCCTTCCCACCATATACACTGTCTCCCTCCTTTAGACTGTAAGCCCCTCAGTGGCAGGAGCTGTCTTACTCATGTTTGTGTCCCTAGGATATGTCTACAGAACTTCACAGAGTACACCCTCACCAGGTGTTTATTGAATATTTCAGTAAACCAACTAGATTCAAGTAGAGGAAGGCCAGAGGCAGGGGACCAGTTAAAAAGCTAGTTGTGGGAGGAACACAGATGGCTGTAGGGGTACAGAACCGTGAGTCGGCTTGAAGTCTTGTAGTAGGAGGAACAGAGAAGGGTGCAGCACTGTGAAATACTTCAGAGTTGGAACTGACAGGATTTTGGGTAGAATTGATAAGATGTGAAGGGAGAGGGAGAAGAGAGGCTCGCGCTGATTCCCAGTGTCAGGCTTGGGTGATTGCGTAGCTGGGACTGCCCTTCACCTATATACAGAATAACAGACAAAACTGGTGATGTGCTTGAGGTTACTGTGACATATTCACAATGGTCTCTTAGGCCATTGGATAAATGGGCCTGGAGATCAGGAAAGGCTAAGCAAATGTACTTTATAGTTACATTATAAATATAATGATATTTGATGTCCAACAGTTTAAAGGCTAAGCATTATTTTAGAGTCAAAATCAAAAGTTTACATTTCATAGAATATTTGTTTCAATATTTCTGAGTTGTTTGTCATTTCCAAAGTGGTGATTGATTTCAGTTTTTTGTTTGTAGATGTGTCACAGAAAATTCTGTCGTGTAGCTCCTGAAATATCACACTCAGTGAGTGTGAGATCGACAGTGAGAAAGAAAGAGCTTTGGGATTAGACAGCCAAGATAAACACAGGAGTCAAAGTACAAGTTAAATGCATGTTAAAATACCAGAAAATGTGGATATAAATTTTAAGTGCCAACATTTTCATTTTTCAGTCTTCATGTATATTTAAAGGCCATCTCAATCCTCTCTCTCTCTCTCTCTCTTTTTGAGAGAGAGAGAAAGAAAGCAGGCATGTGTGGGGGTGGGCGGAGAGGGAGAGAATCTCAAGCAGGCTCCATGTCCAGCACAGAGCCGAGCAGGGCTCGATCTCACAACGCTGAGATCATGACCTGAGCTGAAATGAAGAGTTGGATGCTTAACCAACTGAGCCACCCAGGTGCCTCTCAATCCTCTCTTCCTATGGTGAAAGTTGGACCATACTTTTTACTTACTGACCTTTGTAAATGAAATTAATTTGCAGTATATTTCAAACTAATTTTCAGTGCTAATTTAATGGTAACCCACCCAAGTGTCACTGTTTCCTGTATGCGCCTACTAATAAATTCACAGATTATCAATTTCACACTGACTTTCTTACTCATAAAATATTCATATTCATAAACTAGTTTCTTTTGGTTTATTACCAAATTATTCTTTAAAAAATGGCTTGATTGATTTCCACTAATTTTGGAGAATATATGTGTGATGGTATGATTTAAAAGGTAGATTATATGACATAATGTTGAAAGGCCAGACACAAAAATGTAAATCTATAATTCCATTTATATAAAAGTTTAAAATAACAGGCAAAAAAAGAACTGTGATGATAGAGGTCAGAATAGTGGTTACCTTTGGGACATTATCAACTGACAGGGGGTGGGGAAATGTATAAGAGAACCTTCCAAGGTGCTGGAAGTGGACTATATATCGATCTGGGTGGTGGTTACATGGGTATATACATAGTAAAAAATTCATCAAGCTGTCCACTTAAGATTTATGTACTTTACTACATGTTAAATTATACCACAATTGTTTTTAAGGTTTTATTTATTTATTGACAGAGACACAGCGAGAGAGGGAACACAAGCAGGGGGAGTGGGAGAGGGAGAAGGAGGCTTCCCGCCGAGCAGGGAGCCGGATGTGGGGCTCGATCCCAGGACCCTGGGATCATGACCTGAGCTGAAGGCTGATGCCTAACAGTTGAACCACCCAGGCGCCCCTATACCACAGTTTTAAAAAGCAAAAAACCAAACCAAACCAAAACAACACACGAAGTCCAGACTGTGGAGTACACAAAATGGGAGCAGTTAGGAGAGAGAGGGAAAAGAATGCCATGAGGAGTAGATGGGTGACTGCTGTTTTGTGGTGGAGCTGCTCTATGTTTCAGCAACTCAGCATGGCAAATCTCAGCGTATCAGGATTCCCTTGGGACTCCAGCTGCTAAGGACAATCCTAAGGAAGAGGAAAGCAGACCTTTGTATGTTTCAGGCCAGAGTTAGTGTTTGGATTTGATGGAAGTGCAGATACTGATTCGCTTTTAGAGTCTAAGCATATCCCATCACAAATTAAAATGTGAGAGGACTCATGAGCCGGAACATGCTTTTTTTTTCTTGAAACTGTGTTTCAGAGACTTATGTCACCCCAGTTACTGGTGATGGTACAGGGCAGAGGCAGGGGAGGCTAAGAGGAGCTGGTGGTAGGGGTGGGAGCAGTGGAGGCAGAGGGAAGGCCTGTTCAGTCACTGCACTCAGACCTGGTTCTGTTTAGTATGCTCCATCAACCTTGACTGAGCATGTATAGGATGGGATTGCATCTATGCTCTAGAAAGCCCCTCCCACAGTAGCGTGGAGGGGAAAGTTAGAACTAGGGGCGCCTGGGTGGCTCAGGTCATGATCTCAGGGTCCTGGGGGGATGGGGCTCCCTGCTCAGCAGGGAGTCTGCATCTCCCTCTTCCTCTCCCTCTGTGCATGCTGGCTCTCTCAAATTTTTTTAATGATCTAAAAACAAACAAACAAAGAAACAAAAACAAAAGAACTAGGGAGACACAATCAGGCAGCGATCCAAGGGGGAAGGGGACTAGGACCTGGATGAAGACTGGCAGGAGAACAGAGTCAAAGACCCGCGGTAGAGGTACTGGGAGGTAACTCTGGCCCTGCTGAAGGAGGGAGTAGTTGGTGAGACTGGCTGCGAGAGAGGGCAGGAAGCACGAATGTCCCAGTCACTGTGTGGGCGATGATATTGCCCCTTGAGATAAGGAGGGAGGGAGGGCCAGTAAGTTTGTGGAGGGGGTGAAAGGTTACAAGTTGCTTTTGTAGATATGCAGAATTTGAGGTAGCTGCCCGTGAGACTCGCAGGTCAGTAGGCAGGATTTTGGCCCTCCTGAGAGAGGCCTGAGCAGAATTAGAGTATGGAGTGAAATGACAGAGGCCAGAACCCTAGGAAATACGTACTTTTAAAAATTATGAAAAAAAATTTTAAAGTCATTTTTTTTTTAATTTTAATTTTTAAAAAGATTTTATTTATTTGTCAGAGAGAGAAAGAGTACAAGCAGGGGGGAGCGGCAGGCAGAGCAGGCAGAGGGAGAAGCAGCCTCCCCACTGAGCAGGACCCTGGGGTCGTGACCTGAGCCGAAGGCAGACGCTTAACAGACTGAGCCACCCAGGCGCCCCTAAAAGTCATATTATTTAAACAATCAGAAAATACCAGTAAGCAAAAACAAAAAAGAACTTTGCAGTCCCACCCAGCAAAGTAAGAGTTAACGTATTAACATCTTATTATATAGCCTTCTAAATCTTCTATATGTGTACT